AGATTGAAGAACGAAGAAGACGATAGTGGTGGTGGTGGAGCAGTGGAGGCGCTACTATAGGAGAGAGTGAGAGACGAGAATTCTCCTTTTTTATAATATAAGGCGCAGCACCAAAGGGTAAACTGTTGCATAATCACGATGCCACATCAGCAAAAATTAATTATATTTCCAAATTTATCCTTTTTATTATGGTCGCATCCTTTCAGTCTCTATTCCAGAAGTCAAGATCCAAAAACATGTGTTCTGTTTTTTAATTCCTGCTACATATTCTACATTTACACTCACTCAAATTATTTTTCAATGGAAAAAGAGCTTTTTCACCTTTGACCGATATTTCCCCCGTTTGATAATACAAATCCAGCCATGGAAAAATATGTTATTTTTCATGTGGAAACTTTTTCCTACCCTCCCCCATGGAACTAATTTCCCTTTCAAACTATGGAAAAGCTTATAATGACATGAAAAATAACATAATTTTCCATGGCTAGATTTGGGTTATCAAACAAGGGCCAAATGTCGGTCAAAGGTGGAAAAAGCCTATTTTCCATGGAAAAACACCTATTTGCCCATTATCAAACAGACCCTTAGAAAAAGTGAATATTACAGGGAAGAACACTCAATTTGGTTTTATTTTTTACGATTTGGCATGTATTTAGTGAAAGAGAAGATTACAAAGAAGATACATTTTTAAAGTTTTTTGGTATACTTGGTTTCAAAATGACCGTGATTCATCGAGAAATGTATAATTTAACACCATAATAAAAATGATAATAGGTTAATATGAGACTAATCTTTCTAATTCGGTTGATTGAACTGTATCATCGAAAAAAAAATTCCAACTTATTAAGAATTAGTTTCATTTCTTTATTTCAAGTATTCTAATTAATCAACATTAATCTACAATCATGAATTGATAGTGTTTTTACGAACAAATTTTATTCAAGGAAAAGAAAATAATTTGGTACTAACAAATCTTTAATTGGGTTCTGACTTCTGAGGGATCAAGAAGAATAGATGATCTTAACGATTTAAAACATTACACAGGTGGATACAAAACCCCACAAACATCCATTACTGGGCTCTAAGTTTATCTAATCTTTGGTTTAATTGATAGATTTTTTACATACATTAGTTGCTAAGGAATAAGGATCAGAATTAACTGCAACATTACAAGGGTGGACGGAACCCCACAAACATCCATTACTGGGCTGTAAGTTTTTTCTAATCTTTGGTTTACTTGATAGATTTTTTTATGTACATTGCTAAGGAATAACGACCAGAATTAACTGCAACATTAGGCTTCTAAAAACTCCTTATTATTGATGTAGTCCAAAACATACTCAACGCCATAAACATTGTCCAATATACCGTCCAAGTTACTTTATGTAATGTTATTGCCATAATTTTGCGTAGCCCTATGTGGAGGGTTTCAAGTTTAACTGGAAGAGATGAAACATGTGAAATTTAGTTTACTACTGCAACAAGCAGCAGCCTTTGAGTCCTTTGACCACTCTAAGTTAGCTAATACTTACTGGTCCAGGGTCTCTTAATGCTGGTTTTGTAATACCTGGTGGGGAACTATAAGAGAAAAATGAATGTTAGGAAGGGTGAAATAAAATTTTTTGCCCAAATATTTGTTTGATTATTCTGATTAAAGAAAGGGATATAGAGAACTTAAACCTTAAAAATTTGGGGAAGAAAGTGCAAAATAAATTAATTATAACTTATACAAATGAGTTCAAATTTATTTTTTGTTCTTAAATTTGAGAAGAAGAAGATAGACTCTCTGAGAGAAAGAGAAATATGGGAAAGTGGGTTAGAGAGAGTCAGAGAGAGGAACGAATGAGAAGTTTTAGTGAGTTTTTTTTAATGGTTTTTTGCCCACGTGGCCATCCATGTTTATAGACACATCAGTTAGTAGGATTTGTTTGTGGAACTTGTTTGTCAACGTAGAATTATTGTTATTGTTCAGTTAGAGAAGGTACTGATATTTTTATTTTATTTGTAAGATGATACTTTTCGGGAAAAAAAGAAAGAATTAGTTTTAGGAGTGCTAGCATTTGAGTTATCTTATATTAAATAATAAGAGCATCTCCAATGCTACACTAAATTTAGGAATTTAGTGAAAAACACCAAAAAATCATCTTCAATGCTACACTAAATTTAAGAAAATCTTAAAATTTCACTAAGGTTTCACCTAAGTTAGAGAAGTTTTAAGATGTTCACTAACTTAAAGAAGCGAAACTCCTAACATCGCGCGATGTTTACAATCTCGCTTGTATTTTTTTTTAATTCTTTTAATATGTAGGTCCCACATGAGAGAGAAAAATAAGAACGAAAAATATTATTATTTACACCAAGCGACATTAGGAATGT